ATTGGGCAGAATGTAAGACTAATTAAAAAGCATATTTTTACATTATTAATTTCTGAGTTTCACACTTAATGAATGTGAAATGACAGGGCTACTATTTTTATATTCAGGCTCTCTGGGCTCTTCAGCCAGGGGAATTAAATTCTGGGGATTTTTGCAAAGATGCTTCTTGGGAGATTTGTTTTCAAGAACAGCTAAGCTTTTTTAGCTATGCCTTTTTCTGGGAAATTATACCAAAGCATATTACAGCCACTTAAAAAGAGTAGTTAAATAGATGTTGTGTTGGGTTGGTTTTTTTTTTGTTTTTTTTTTTCTGTTTTTTTTTTCATCGCGCTGCTATAAAAGTATTTCAGATGAGGTATAAAATATGGTTTTTAAATGATATTATGATTTGCAAACACTAAAAAATAATTGCGGCGGAGTTGAGAGAGAGCGAAAACATCTAATCTTTATTGTGTAAGACAATGTGATAAAATATTTTACAGCCAAAAGCTCATTTTGCATCTGGAAAATTGTGCAAACTGATGGGGGGAAAAAATCTCATTAAAACTAAAGGTTATTTTTAATATTCCTCAAACAAAGCAGCGCATTATAACCGCGTTTCTCCTCCGCGTATTTATTAAATCAGACAATTGTACGAATGTCTGACGCTCTATTTAAATAAAGACATAAAACGGCAGAGGCCGCACGATCAGGCAGGCTGAGCTGGATTTATACCGGCTTTTAGAGACCACCAGAGTCAAAGCACAGCGCCGGTGTTGGAGGGGTTTTCTTGTTTGTGCTGAGCAGTCGCAGCATTCTGGTTGTTATTAAGCAGGAGGGGTTGCAGTAGTGGAACCTGTGCGGGGTGAGGCTGGCACCGCCGTCCCTGCAAGCACGGCACAGCTCAGCTCACTTTTATAGGGCTGTGCAAGGAGGAGTGGAGAAAAGCTTCCCCCCCCCCCCCCTCTTTTTTTTTTTTCCCTCTCCAAATGTGCTTACAATTACCTCTCTGTATTTTTATTGTCTTTTTACTAACCACAAAACTCACACTGGAGGCAAAGCTTAACGGCTGAGGCTTTCCTCGTGTAAATATTAGGAAATTACATTTGTACAAACTGCGCGGCTTTGTAAAGGGGGCTGGAGCCACTCCAACACAAATTAATCAGGATAAAGTTGCTCTATGTTCAACATGACCATAGTTTATTTTCTTAAAGTATTAATTTGTCAACAGCTTTCCTGCCTCGCTGTGACTCATGTAGATGGCATTGAGGGAAGACACAGATGCAATCTTGCTGCTATACCTTGCGGCCTTAGGAACGAGCTCTGGTTAATCAAAACGTGATTGTGTTTAATTTCTCAATATTTGTTTCCATACAAAAGTTGAACGACTGAGATAGGAATGCAAACCTATGTTTAAATATTGTCTTTCCTTAAAAAAAAAAGAAGAAAAAAAAAAAAAGAAAAGAAAAGAAAGGAGAAGTGTGAAACTATTTTAACTGTTTGCTAAACGATTCGTGCTACTTTGCACTTTTAGGTCCTTCCCTCTGCTGCCTCCCCCCTCTGACCAAAATAAACAAATAAGCACTGCCAAGAGCTTTTCAGCTGCTGTCCTTTGCTGCCTTCCCTCCTCAGCCATCCCCTGCGCTGAAAGCAATGCTTTCCAGCACGCCTCTTCTCATTCTTCTGCCTTCACTCGCTGCTTGTTATATCACACTATTTTTAATTATATCTTGATTTTCGTAACATTATTGTTCGTTGTTATGTTTCTAGAATGCAAACGTGAGCGTAATGGGATCTATTTTTCAGAGTTGCCAAAACAAATTAAGGAAAACGCTCGGCTCTTCCTTTGCCAAATGTTTTAGTGCTTTTCCATGAAAGCAAATCTTATTTCTAACTGTATATTAAGCCTTAAGTAAATAATGCAGTCTGTCAGAAGCAAATTCTATTGTAAAAGCAGTAACTGTTCCCAGGATTTGCCTGTGATGCCCGCACGCTGCTCTGCCCGGGAAGGACTGGGCTAGCAATGAATTACTGCTCATTTCAATCAGCCTTTTGCAGAAACGTCTAACTTTTTTGTTTACACTGGACCCAGACCCCATAAATATGGAGCATTTGTTGCGGCAGCTCCACGTCTGCCCAGGTAAGTAGGAGATGTGGAATAAAAATATCAGGGAAAAGAGACCGGTTTGAAGCTCTGCCTTTTGTTAATGGTGAGGTTCAGGGCTTTCCTGATCTTCGGCATCTTTTATTAACACACATCACCAAATAATATTGACACTCTTCGTGTTTTATTAGTACACATTTACCTTGTTCGTGGTTTTATTATTCAAGAATGCAGTTGTTGCCAAGTATTAATCAATATATTATGCTGCTCAGTTGGGCAAGCTGTACAAAAACATAGTGCCCCTAGGGTTAATACAGTCAAGAACTAGAAAAGTGTTTCAGACATGTACACAACATGTGGTTTACTATTATCATTAAATGAGGTGAACTGGGACTCTATACATATGGATTTTGAATTGCATAAATTTTGATTGATATCATTTGAAGACTGAGACCCTGAAAGGCTAGATTTTGTGAAAGACGATACACAGGCCAGCTATTACCACATACAATAATACCAGGAAAAATATCTGAAATGAGCAAGGCAGCTGGCTTTTAAATAGCTAAAACATAACATCAATACTTATTTTGAATAATGGAAAAAAGAGGTAAAAGATGTTGACCTCTGCCTGACAATAACATGTTCCAAAAGTAGAACTGGTCCCGGGAGAAAACCCCCTGCTCAACAGTAGCGACTAAGACATTTTTTTTCGCTCCTTCTCTTCTCTTCTCTTCTCTTCTCTTCTCTTCTCTTCTCTTCTCTTCTCTTCTCTTCTCTTCTCTTCTCTTCTCTTCTCTTCTCTTCTCTTCTCTTCTCTTCTCTTCTCTTCTCTTCTCTTCTCTTCTCTTCTCTTCTCTTCTCTTCTCTTCTCTTCTCTTCTCTTCTCTTCTCTTCTCTTCTCTTCTCTTCTCTTCTCTTCTCTTCTCTTCTCTTCTCTTCTCTTCTCTTCTCTTCTTCTCTTCTTCTCTCTTCCTTTTTTTTTTTTTTTTTCACATATCAATTTTATTTATTTTTTTTCTTTTCTCCCCCCCTCCCACACTCCGTGGTCCCAGGGAGGGAAGGGCAAATGAGCTTCTTGCACAAGAAGCTGCCACATACAACTGCCAGCAAAAAAAAAAAAAAAAAAAAAGGATTTTTCACAAATTCAGGAAACACTTGAGAGGCAAAACCAACATCCTGGCGCAGGAGACGAGGCCGGCTCCTGACAGCGGGCCAGCCTGCCTGGCCCAGGGAGGCCTGCAGCCAGGAAATGGCCGCCGCAGGGTCAGGTCATGGGGGACCCCGCGCCCGGGCGGGCCTCGCACCCCTCGCCACGCACTGGCAAAACCAACAGACCTCTTCATGGGAAATGTGCTGAAAAATGTGCTGACCTGTGTTCAACTTTTCTGTGTTAAACATTTCTGGGAGGGGGAGAACAGGAGCCAGCCCTTGGCTCCGGTGGGCTGCACTCAGTGCAAGGTCTATAGGCAGCTGTCCCAGCTGTGGGGATGGTGTGGGTCTCTGAAGCCCCAAATCCGTTTTTCCCAATGTGTGATGCGCACGGAAAATTATCAATACCTCTCCCTGCCAGATTCATTCAATTTGCCTGGGTTTGTTAAAACTTTTTAGAGAGCACTGGATGCTTAACACTTCATTTATGATTTATGCTCCATAAATGTATTAAAACATTAACTGTATTTCTGTGGTGGCATACTAGAATCCCCCCGGGGAAAGCCCGGCCGTTTCTCAGGCTGCCGCTGGGGTTTCCCTGAGGAGGAGATTATTTGTGTTGTGCTACACCTCTGCACGTTCATTAGGCCACAGCGTTACCCCAGCAGACACAGCGTGAGGGGCTGCTCTTAATGGGGTAATAAGCTGCAGCAACCACATGAAGGAAATGTCCCTTTTCAAGTCAGAAACTGCCCAAAGTTCCAGGGTAAACACTGTAAAGGTGCAACCCTGGCGATAACCTCTCATCAGAACTGTTGGCCATAGCGCTTGGGTGGCTCAGGCAAATTTATCATCTGGATTTAAACTCTAATATTGCTGTGGCACCCATTGCCTAGCCCTACTTTTAACCATGCTCTGCAGGCTCCAAAATGCACAAATGCGGCTGCTAATTGGAAATTGGGAAGGTTAAAAAATAGACAAACTAGTTTTTTGGCTTGTGCTTGGCAGTATGGGTTATTTATGTGGGTGTTTTTTTCAGTAGGGTGTTTTTTTTTTTTCCCCCTCCTCTCTTTTTGTGCGTGCGTGCGATGGGGTGGAGGGGTGGGGGTGGTCTGGAGGGTTTCTTAGTGGTTGGGAAGCTTCACATTTTTCAGTAAGCATTATTGGGTAACAATTGGTGCAAACATTATGGAGGGGGAAAGGCACATAAATCAAGAAATAAAAAAATAGTTTCTGCACATTTTCAAAAAACACGTTGTGCTCTCTGAGGTCCTTTTCATTTTAACCAAATCAGGGGGAACTTGTCCTCACAGCGGCAAGGCAGATGGAACAATAAATCACAGGAACCATTGACTGCCTGCAGTGTACTCTCCGCAGCTGTCACTTTTTTGTCTCTTTGGTTTTAGCTGACATGGTTTGAGGTCCACTGTGAACCAATCTGGACTTTTTTTTTACCGTCATATCCATCAAAACGACCAGTAGCCATCAACCTACTGCAGCGATCGATTCGTTTGCTTATTCTCACACATAAGCCAATACTCAGCTCACTAGGTGAGGCTTGGGAGAAGCACCTCATTTTAGCTTTTTTTTTTTCCCCCCTCTTTCTTTCTTTCTTTCCCTTTTTTTTTTTTTTTTTTTTTTTTTTTTTTTTTTTTTTTCCTTTTGCCTCCAGCTACAGCTGTGATTTTCTGAGCAGTCTTGGCTAACGTTATTAAAGTTGCATCATGATAGATATAGAGCAGAGCAGATAACGGTCTCCACGCACAACAACAGAAAAATAATAACAACCGTGGGTTTCGCTGTTGTTGTCAGTGTTGCTTTTCAGGTGTACTGAGACGCTTGCTAAGCTCGGAGTTTCCAACTCATTGCTTATTTTGCAAAGTAAACAAGCAAATGTTATGTGCATAACCTTAGCTGTCTCTGCAAAGGTCAGTGCGTGGCTGCTAATTTCTTCTCCTGCCTTTTGGTGGCACTCTGATGCCAGCGATTACTTCTGGCGCGTTTGGGAAACAAGACGTCCTTTCTTAACAAAAGACTCAATCTACAAAGGCCACAAAACAAAAATTGATTAAAGTTGAACCGTAGTATGAAAGTTTACTTTGGTGTATCAAATAGCCCGGTAAGCTCTACGTAGCAGCTCATCTGTAACGGGGGCCATGGGGCGTCACTGGGCGCAACTGGGACTGCATGGACAGGTTGGTGATATGGGGGGGGTGGGGGGGGGGGGGGCTTCTTTGCACTCAAACAATGCGGGTCTCCTCAACCCACGTACATATGTGTGCATATGTATGGGCAGTGCTGCCTGTCAGATGTCGCCGTTTGGCCTCAGTTTGTGACCTGAGCCATTGTAAAGTGTCTTTTGCATTTTATAAAAGTATATTCTTCGAACCGTGTCTCAGATATTAACAGGGACTGAAGTTCAGTCCACATTTTGGGAAGCAATTGTTTTGCAGTGTAAATAGAAGCAAGGAGATGTGTGGATAATATAGTGGTAGGTTTTTTCTTTCTTTTTTTTTTTTAATGTCAAAAAAAGCTGCTTGCTTTAAAAACCTTCAGTTAGGTCAAGTTAAATTTATTATATATAATTTTTTTTATAGCTGAACTCCATGATTTTGACTAGAGGTGACAGCTGAAAAGCACCAGAAACCCTTGGAATTTCAGATCTATATATTACTATAAAGGAAGAAAATAAAGTTCCGCTAGTAGAAGGTAGGTAATTGCATTTACCGAATATATGTAGTTTAAAAAATACAAATTCCTGAACATTTACTTTAAAAAAAAACGTCAAGACAGTGCAAGTTTCCTTTGTATCTATAGAGCAAACATCCCTGGGATTTGTAATAAAAACCTGGTTATGAGATACGGGGTCCCTCCTGTTAACAAGGATCTTTTAGCAGACTACTGAAATATTGCCATGTTGGAGAGAAGTTATTTAAGGAGTCTACAGGAGCTGATGTTAAGGCAGGTTCTGCAGAGGCTGTTTTCCTCTGTACAGACCTTGGAAGGGTGTGTGTCCTGAACGTTTTCCATTGTGGAGAAACGCAACAAACAGCAAAGTGCAGTCAAAGCTAGCCTTGCTCCGTGATGAATTTCAAGGAGCGTGACCAATAATCTTCTACTTATCTTAAAAACCCTATGAAAGTACTAGACCAGTTCCAACAGAAGTGAGAGCAAACTGTGGGAAAAAAAAAAAGAAACCTCACAAAAAAGCCATCTGTCTGAGAACAACCCGAGAATCCTAAGTCCACCCAAGTAGTCACTGCGTGTTTTTCTGCAGTGCTAATGGATTGCATATTGTTGAAAATATGAATTACAGAATAAATCAGGAGAGAGTGACAATTAGGGGTCCAGTTCTGTTCTTGGCTGCAGTGGCATTATTGACCTAATGCTGTTTTCTGCTATTGTGGGACATACAGGATAATTATCCAATTTAAGAACTACTCCAGACCGAAGGAGTAAATGGGAGCTGTCTGAAGGCAGGGACTGCAAGAGGAGCGAGGCTGACAGTCAGTGAGGGTCAGACCACTGTAGGCTGTGGGTTTTCCCAAGGCTTTATACGCTGCTATTAACTCTGCCACATATACTCCACGGCATGAAATACATGTCTTAAATATACCTTTAAAAATGTCTCGTGCTGGGGACATGCCAAACATCACACGCTCCCTTTAGGGGACGCGTGAAAAGTTACAAACCGTGAGCCCTATTGTGGATTTGCTGCCTCCAAAATTCCTGTTTGAAGTGAGGAAGAGTTTTGGCTGAGGACGGAGAGCGGGATAAGAGGGCCCTGCAATGTAAGGATTAGAAAGGAATCAGGAATTTCGCTATGATTACCGCGCCAGAAAAAAAGAGATATGTATGAATAATATCAGATAACATCCTCCTGCATGTGAAAGGAAAGCCACTAATTCAGCAGCATTCTTATTTTCAAATGAATTCCAACAGTGAGACAAGCAAGCAGCTTTGTGAAGAGGGACAGTCATTAATATGCCTGACGGGGGCTTTTTTCCTGTTCCTACCAAACGGGATGTAACATAATTCCACATTAAAACCGGGAAGCAGTCCTGCATATTTTCTAATTATCTTTGCTGCGGTCGATGCTGCATCAAGGAAAGATAGAAAAGGAAAAAATAAAAGGGTCTGAATGGACGTGAAACTTTGCTCATCACTTGCATGCTAAACAATGCAGGTTTAACCTCCTGCACATTGCAAAAAAAAAGACATGTGGCATTGCTTCTCCTTGCATGGAAGCCCTGGGCTGACCCGGTGGTGGATCAGAGCAGGATTGGGCCCAGCAGCACTGGCAGAGCTCTGCGGGTGTATCTGAGAGCAGCAATTCGGGTCTGCCCCAGCATCAGCGCAGCGCATCGCTGCGGCGGCGTTCCCCGCTGACTGCGGGGCTGTTTGATGAGTAATTAGGAGACCTTCTCTTTAGTTTGTTTGACATATTTTACAAAACATGTGAATCTGTTAAAAAAATTGCTTGTTCATTGAAAAGACTTAGCTCCTAAATGAAGCAGGGTATCCACTAAGTGGGGATAATTTTAGGATTTATTATTATTATTTTTTTTTTCATTACGACTTCAAACACAATGGGTTCTCTTTCACTTGAAAAGGGTTTTTTTGTTGTTGTTGCTTCTTTTGAGAAGCAATTATTCTGTTGCTGCGTCTGTGTAGCTTCACCCGGAGCTCATACAGAGAAAATCACTGTAATGCTCAGAGATAAACATATCTAGACATACAGATATCCATGTGCCTACTGAAGTTTGTTTGTATTTTACACCCACATGTCACAGTTGGTATAATTAACTACTTACTGGAAAGCAGCAAACAGAGCCCCTGTCTGCTGCCGAACGGAGGGGGTCATTTTTACTGTCTGCCTTTAAGACATCTCTAGCAAAGAAACCTCCCCTCAAAAATACAAAATATCCCTCAAATATCCCAGCACCCGTACTGCTCCGTTTGTGAAATATGCTTTGAAGATCATCTGATGATATGCTTTAATGATTCAACTTTCTCAACTATTGCAGCTTTGTGCGATGAAACAATTGAATTTTACTTACTTTAAAGCCACTTGGTGACTTTAAGTGTGATCAGAATTTCCCTTCCTTCAGCACTTTGGTGGTGATGAACTGAAGGGACACCGCTGAGCACCCACAACTGCAGTCCAACTTGCAGCTTGCAAAATTATAGGCACCAATTTATTATTATTATTATTATTATTATTATTATTATTATTATTATTATTATTAAATCAGAAATGCAATTTCAGGTATTTTAAAGCAAGGCATTGGCCCTGTGGTTAAAGTTGCCTCAGAAAAGCACTGCCATAAGAAGGCTGGCTAACTTAGATTAAAACCTCACTATACTTTTGTTTGTAAGTGCAGGGATGATTTAAAAGCCCCGTGCTTTCCTAGGCAGCTATACTGCCTATTATTGCTTCAGGCTGAGCATTTTGTTTTTCCTTTTTTTTTCTTTTTTTTTTCCCTGTGAAGGCTCAGTTGCTTATTTTGGGGAAGCATCTCATTTATTTCAACCTGCTTCTTGCTCAGACTTCTTCCTTTTGGAGAACGGCTGCGTGGCACATCAATAAGCTGCAAATTACGTAAGGGCTGTGTTTAACTTGCAGCCGGATTGCCATTTTCATACAGGTCCACATCTTTTAGTGAAAACGCCTCTTCCTGAGGAATCTCAGACGTCTGTAATTGCTGCTCCTTTCAGCACAGCTTAAGGTATCAATATCAACCAGATTTGAATATCATAAGCGGTAAGTTGCTCTAAGCAAAACACAAACATGTCAGTTGCCCAGGTGACATTTTGTAGCAAACAAGGAAATCACAACTCCAGGAAGTGTTGTATTTTATGCCAACAACAATATGACAGTTTTCTCTGTAAAGAAAACATGACACTTTTCCAAATATCAGAGGATGCCTCCGCCGCTCAAGGGATTCCTGTACTGTCACTGAAATGGAAGGTCACAGGCTGGTTTCATGATTTCTATAGTTTCAAAATGTTGTGGAGGAGCGTTTGCACGCTAAATGCTGTAGGCTAAGGGAAATCTTTCCCTTCATCTCTGAAAGAAGTGACAGGAAGAAAAAGGTCCTGCTCTGACAGCAGTAACCTCTAGGTCTGGAGGTTCTGCCCCAAGCTACTCTGAAGCGAAATTACCTATGTTAATGTGTTGTCCTCCCTGTCATGCCTGCGTGCACGTGCAAAGCAGAAAGCACAGAAAATGTGAGGGTACAGCGTGTGCCGAGGGGTTTCTGCAGCCCCAAGGAGGCTCTGCCCAGTGGGAACCATTGCAAAGCTGCCCTAAAAGCAACATGCTTTCCCTTTGGCAGCCTGGGCCGTCCTGGAACCGCGGCAAACACTCCCATGCCATTTTGGACATGGCCTTGGCTGTAATAAAGATGACAAAGTTTCTGCAAACAATTTCTTTTAAGAGGTGGGGTTTCCAGTTCAACTTCACAAAGGTAGGGACCTGCTTGCCCCACTGGTACCTGATTCTTGTCGTTTAAATAAACAGATTTTTGCTGTAAGCCAGAGAAAGTATTAACTTCAAGGCTGTGGCTGGGATCAAAACACATTTGTTTCCAGCCTTCCTCCTTTTTTTATTCTTCCCTCTCCCCCTTAAAAAAAAAGCACACCTTAGTCTATAGATTATATACTTCCTGCTGCCCTTTTTATAAGCAATAAGAATTTAATAACTGAGGGCAACTCTATAGTAATATTTATATGGGTCAAGTGGCTTAAAAGTATGCAATAAATGTAAAGTTATGAACCACATTGCCCCTTTTTAAATAATGCAGCTAGCACTAAGATATTATGTTTCATATGCTGGAAAAAGGTGTTTTAGCCCAGGCTTTAGGAGCACACCAGACATGAAAAGTTATACTGATCCCATAATAAAGTCACTGCCTGCTTAATATGGTGTGTTATGTAGAGCTCCAGATCTTAATAGCAGACCACAGCAAGAACGTCCCAGATGATATCAACAAAACCTTCGCTTTCTCATTAGCAATCAGCAAATTCTCCTGGTGTCTGCTAGTTTCAAATAAGGGCAAGTGCCTCTATTCCTAGTGTGAAGCCCAATAGGATAATAGAAATAATGTAGTCTAATCAGTGGTGAACGCAGGCAATCCCCAGCCAGAGCAGGCTGTCGTGCCTTCGGTGACGGCCGTCAGCAGCTTTCTGCAGGTCTTGAAGTCCCAAGGAGAAGGGTGGGAGCAATTGCATGGGGGGAGTGGGGGAACTCAGCCTGACACAGCTCATCCCATGGCCTCTTTGGGAGAGGGCAGCTACAGACACAGGGCTTCTGAGGATATCTGTATGAAAACAGATTGTGAGCGCTTTAAATATGTAATGAAATGCTGTGTGTGGTTTGCACGTCTCTCTGTGAGTATGTACATTGCCACGCACATGGTTTGACTTGGTCCACCTAACTGTCTACCTCTCAGATGAATGAAATGAAGTATTTGTCGTTGCGGCATAGAGGACCATCCCTTTGTTGGCTGGCACGTTGTTAGAAGCTCCTCACTATCTGCACCTCATCTGTTACCTGCATTTTTATGTTTTTCTGTGTTACTGTTAAGTTTTAATATCTTCGTCTTTGGACAATTTGCAGCACGGTTTAATTAAGCACTGGGACAACCACTGCTGTTAGCAATTATGATGGAAGTGCAAAGGACACGAGATCGCGCTCTCATCTTTTA